AAATTATTTGTTAAAAAAACGTCGTTTCAAAATAGCAATTTTGTTTACTTTTGAATAAGACTTTATCGAGTGCGCTATAAAGACAGGGGGATAAATGCTGTAAAGAAATATATGTTCAGTCCAATCGGTTTTTTGCTAATCCGGTTTTTGTGTAGGTATAAACAAGGTATATTAAAAAAATAAATCTCCATGAAAAAATATCGTTATTTTCGTATTTAAAATTAATCGGAATTTTATGGGGGGATATAAAAACTCGTTTTAATTGAAACTTTGTTTTTTTTCGGCTATATTTGTTATTATTTATTGGCCCAGATGCAAATATTGAATGAACTAACATATTTTAAATATTTACGGAACTACCATTTGTATGCAACCCTGCCTATCCTGTATTCAAGTAGATGTAATTCGAAAAACTTAAACGGATTTCTTTAAATCAACCTGAGCTGCGGACATATTGCGAATTCATTTTAAAACATTAACCACTACATTATATTAGTATTAAATACTTTCAATTAAGAAACAATTCTTACTAGAAAATAAATACAATTCTTACTAGAAAAGAAATTTTAGGCAGATTGTTATTGACAATTTTTACATAATTTACGATTGCAATCAATTTCTTTCAAAACTATAATCTAAATGATTGCAAGTTGTATTTTTTACGATCAAAACAGATTCCAATATTAGGTATATTATGCAAATGCAATCCAATTTGATTTGAGTTATTCAGTTTTAGATAGTTAGATAGTTTAGATAGATGTTGCATTCTACCGTACATTTTAAAAGCTTTAAAATCTTAAAACATATGTGAAAAACTTTTATAATCTGAATATTTCTAATGTCGCAATCAAAACCAAATTTTATAAATAGCATTTTTAAAAAGCAATCATCTAATATTTTTCAATTTTTTGGGCATATATGTTACCATTTGAACAACTAATACTACCAAGTTTTAAGAGACTATTTAATGCAACTCAGGTTATAAAAGCGCACTTTAGACCAAAATAAGCAACTCTAAAAAACAGATGATCGCAGCTGTGGCCCAGGATGACGTCTATTGCTAAGATATCTCACTTGTATTTGTACACAATGATTGCCACTCACTTGATCGATCAAATGACAGTCATTCGCTACAGAGCCAAACTGGTATATAAAATTTTGCATATGTGTTAGTTTTCGTTGTGATTGTGTTGGAGTTTCTGTCAATCGCGTCTTGTAGGGCTAAATACCCTGTATGTACTAGAGGTTTACGCCGACAGGCTTTGCGGCGGCGGCGTGGTCAACTTGAAAAAGAATCGGCGGCGGCGGCGACACCGGCGCGTCTGAAAACGCCGGCGCTACTGCCCATTAGGTAGATTCAAAAGATACATAAAGCTACTAATCTTATCATGTCATCTCGTCAGCGTTAGGCATTGGCCATGCCAATTCAGATTGTAATTGTATTTAATTAATTCATTGAATTAGTTTTAAATTAAAATCACGTTACTTTCTACTTGAATTAAAATGTTGAGTGTCTGCTGCTGATTGATGGGCAAACAGAAGAAAGTCCGACGTATATAAATAAATACATCTCTATGTTCTCTACAAATCCGTATATGTATACTACTGAAATTTAAAGAAATAAAAAAATTTAAAATGTTAAGTTATTGGGGTAATTTATGTCGCTATCAAAATTTGTTTGCAATAATCTTATCATCCGTTATGTTAAATTACGGAGTTGTTACGATTCTTTGCGGGTCATATGTATATTGAAAACAAGGTTTGGTCAACTTCCACCAGAACGGGCCTTTCTGGCCACTTATAGGTAGCTAAAATATCCACTAAAATATTAAGCGCCAAATTTTTGTAAGGAGAACTGAATGTAATGAAAAATAATAATAATTTTTACGAAAAATGGGGACTTTAACCCTGTGTAGAAGACATTGCGATGCGCGGGAGCAAACGCCTCCTGGGATTTGACCACCACTTGGGAACAGGGCTTCCAACTATACTTAGCTATGAAGTGCCATATTGAGGATAAAAAAGTGCCAAAATGTGCCAAATAGAAAAATATAACGTGTTACCTATGTTTTTTCTGAGTTACGCTTTTTTGGAAATGTTCAGTGGCCCAAATTATGCGAAATAACTATTTTAAAAATTTAATCCTCTTTTCGTAAAATAGTGTCTTTATACGAGTAGTATTTAGTTCCTTCAAACGATGTATTTTACTGTGCATACATCATGAAAATTTTGTACAAAATTCCTTAGGCGCCGAGCGCCGCCGCCGACGCCGCCGCGCCGATATTTACGTAACTCGGCGGCGGCGCGTGAGAAATGACAAAAAACGGCGGCGGCGGCGGCGTGGCTCGGCGGCGTATACCTCTAGTATGTACACGTATTTTTTCAAACACACGTTATTTAATTTGCAAATACCGAAAAAAACATTTGCTTAGTAAATAAATTCAAAATTTGTATGGCTCACTTCATTTCAAATGTTTTTTCTTTTGTTTTGAAAAATTATAAATATTTAATTGAGCGAAAACAAAAAGCAAAGCCAAATAAAAGTAAAAGAATCAACATTGAACTGCGTCAAAATGAAAATAAGCGAGCACGAATTTCGATGTGAAGCAAAACTCTCTGGGAAGACAATACCTGTAATTATTGTACCAGTTAATCTAATAATCTGTGATTTGGCTGGGTAAACGGGGTGATTAAAAAACCAGCTTTCGATTGAGATAATGTTTATATGTGAACATACTTTTACTCTCCGAAGTTTGGTTACTTGGTGTTTACACCAGACAATATTGTCAAGACAATTATGTCAAAATGATGTGTTTGTTGTAAACACGGCGAATTTATATTACAACAAACAAATCATTTTGACATAATTGTCTTGACAATATTGCCCGGTGTAAACCCTATTTGTGATTATATGTAAACATACTCTTAATTAAATATAAAGGCCACGGTATTATTCTAAAGCTGAGTGTTTGTATGATTTCCGTGCTGGCACGTTATCGAGACTTCGATGCATAATATTCATCCTCGCCGTCATTTGGCTACCACCTCCGCAATACGGTGTGCCAACATAATTTCTATTTATTTATTATTATTGCCGATAGCATTCCAAAAAGTCTGCCAGTGGTCGTAGCTGAAACTATCTAAAAATGCCCATTGCCAGGTAAATATTTACGGATGCTTGCAAAAGGAATAAAAATTAAAGAATGTCAACGAAAGAATAAACGGCTTTTCCTGCGTTGCCAGCTACATGCAAAACCAAAGTTATCAAGTCAAGGCGAATTTATACAAGGCGGTGTTAATGGCGAATTTAGATTTTCGCCGCGATACTTCCTAATGTCAAAATGATGTGTTTGTTGTTAACAAGGCGAATTCATATTACAACAAACACATAATTTTGACACAGTGCAGGACCGCGGCGAAAACCTAAATTCGCTAGCAACACCACCTTGTATAAATTCGCCTTGTACCAAATCTTGGCCAGCGTTGCCGTTTTGATCCGATTGGACCAAAATTGGTAGGTTCATTCTCCTTTGGTAGCTTGGTTGGTTTGATGAACCTTTTGGTAGACAAAAATGTTTTGAAAATACAACCGAATTAAAATTTGTTCGCTTAATTTACGTTTAAAACATGCAGAAATTTTAACGCACATATGTATATTAAAATTGTTATTTGGTTTTTTCGTATGCTCACAATCAACAATTGCACCAAGATGACGTCACGCACACAGCTGATTCTGTCAAAATCACAAAGAGCGGATTAGCGGTACCGCGATTGGCGCAATCTGTATTCCTCTCAATCGTGATCACCAGTGAGTATCACATGATCAATCATATGACTTTCACTGTTCTTGTAGGGGAATTACGGGACGAGCAGTATTTCTAAAATTTCTCAATTTGACGTACAGATTTGTGGTGCATTGCCACGTCTGGCGCGCTCTGATGTGTCGCACACAAGGTGTGATTGACAACTCAGGTAGGCTCTCTTTTAAGGTACCATTATGCCTAAAAACATAAACAAGTGATTCAAAATTCATAAACAATTTTTTCAATTTGACTTTATAGGATGGTTCTGAGAGCAATGTCAAATTCAATCACATTTTGTTGAATACATTTTGGTCGCATATGCCACACAAGGGTTAATTCACTCAATCGAAAGTGTCTCCAAAACATAATGTCAAAATTTGACAACAAATAACAGTGCTGCCAGGTTTTGAATTTGAAAAAGCCCTAAAACCCAAGAAAAATCGTGTTTTTTTCTCGAAAAAAGCACCAAGTTTTTATTGGAGTATTCAATGGACTTTGTATGGTAAACATTTTTTTGTATGGATACCGATTCAAATTATTAAAATCTATGTTTCTTGCTCGATGGTCGAATTTATTCTGTTTTATATAAATTCAAATATTTTCGACAAAGCGACGTAAAAATTCTTGCTGCCGTTTCGCTTAGATTTAAGAAAATTTTTTACATATTTTCCTGACAGTTTAAATGTTAAATATTTCTTCGTTTTGCTTAATTTTTTCTACAATTCCTATCAAACGAAAGCAACACACAGAAAATCAAGTTTCATGAACTATGTGGTAGTTTAAATCTACACTGCGGTCCATTGTGATCTCGTGAACTAAAGGAACTTTAAGAACTTTTCTTTTCGACCGCTTGACATCTGAAACATAACGAAATTTGATTTCCTTTTTTAATCTTTTTATGAAAAAAAAGCTGCCTACTCTTCAAATCTCACCCGATTTCGTATTTTTTTTATAAAACGTTCGTTATGATTTTGTTTTCATTTTTGTAGCGTTGCTTATAAAACTTACGATTGCTAAAATTTTATTTCCATTTGATGTACAGATTTGGTATCTTCAAACTAAAATGAAGCACAAAAAAACGCACCCAGCACCAAATTCAAAAATTTTCGCGTTTTGAATAAAGAAAAGCACTAAATTTAGTGCGAAAAGCAGGAAGTTGGCAACATTGAAAAATATGTCAAAATTTTATTTGCTCTTCCGACATTTGCTTGTGCCAATGCTTGTGCCATAAAAAATTGTTCCTGCTCATCGGAAAGTGGCTACATCGCCCATTTGTGAACGAATCTACGAAGCTATCACGCCGTGGAGCAGCTCAACGCAAGCGCGAGTGTGTATCGCTGAATTGTGAATTCAAATGAAAACGAAGTGCAAGTGGATGTAGAAGCAACAGTAGAAACAGCGCGAAGCAAAACGATGACCAAGCAATGGAACTGAAATCGCATATAACTTATAAATACATACGTATATATTTCGCGAATTTGTATGCGTAAAATTTGCAATTTTCAAGAAAACTTGTTTGAAAAACTTATTGTGCCAGTGCAGTTTCCAAAAAACCAATAGAAATCATTGGTGGTAAGAATTCAATGATGAAATGCAACTATATACTTTGATGCATAACAAAATATCTTTGCATTGCAAAGCACTTCGAGAGGACAAAAGCGTTGAATGTACTATAACCTTTTATGACATTGAACGGTAGCAATGGCAACAGCAACAGCAAGAAAAAAAATAGGAAGAGGCCGATCATTGGCACTAGAAGTAGAACAAGTCTAGCAAATCGCAGGAAAAAAGGCTGGGTAGACTGGTTAAGCCGATAGATGGATGGGAGATTGATAGTCTACAAGTATATATGCCTATATATATATATATACTTATATATATATCGATATACATATGCATTCATCATAGCAAGATTAGGAAGGCAAAGCGAGATATATGTATTTTGAAATTCTGCTGGTCGTATTTATAAATAATACGCCTGCAGCGCGAGACCACCAGATAAGCATACGGATGCGTCTACTAGTTTGTTTTTATACTATCTATGCAATACATAGTATGCATTCATTTTTTAATGCCATGTAGTATCCAAAGTATGTACATATCTTTTAATTAAATCCGAAATTAATAAAAGGCATCTTGGTTGTGCACCAAGAGCCACTCCGTATCATAAATAACTCGTCCCTAAAAAACTTGTATGTAGCTAACTGAAAAATCAAGACATTAATGTAAAGTTTTTATATGCCAAAGATGTTGATTGCAAATGCAGTTGCTGACTTCATTTTAATTCATATTTATATATCGCACGTTTACTAATATAGAGATGTAATTCAAAGTTTACGTTTTTGGAGATTTCAACATACAATTAATAAGCTTGATAAGGAGAATATGCTCAGCGTAACAGATGAGTAAACTTTCCAATAATGGCCAATATATATATCATTCCAATTGGTATATCAATTGTAGGAACTGATCAAACTTTGAAAATTGAAATTTTGTGTCTTGTCTTGCGAGCGACATCGGCTTGGTCCATAAATATATGTGGGAAAGTGCGAAAATTTTAATAAAAGTTCTCATACGCGTACCAAAAACTTTGTTTTGTTGTGTAATCGCGCAGAGATAAAAAGTAAAAGGAAACGTACATACATACATAAATAAGTATGTATGTTCGATATAACACAAATTTAAAAGCACTACGGGAACGCCCTCGTTATTAAATCACGCAAAATGAATAATCATTAAAAATAATTCCAAAGTAAAGTGTTATATCAAGTTTACATGATCTCTTTTATCTTATTTCCCTGCTATTCTAGCGTTAACATCCATTAAAAATAGTGCATAGGTACATAAGTATCATAAATGCTAAGTCGTTATAAAAAATGTTAAAAATAAATAAATAAAACTGCCATAACGGAATCCAAGTAATTATCACCAAAGTTCCACACAACTCGTCTACTGACAACGCTTAATGGCAATTTAGTTCTACTTGGCATTGGCAAACCAGTTGATGGTGTTGAGCACCATTATTCAGACGCTATTCTTCACTGCTTTTTGTGGTTGCAAATTATTGCACTAAACTACATAATATTAAAATACAAAACAAGTGCGCGACGCAGTGATTCCCTGTTGAACTTTTAAATTTGACCGTCAAAATTCCGCCAGAACCAATGGCTAAGGACGAAGAAGAGGACGATATCTTGCCCGACAAGGATGCGGCCAAAGGCTTTTATGCAAAATATGAACCCAAGGAAATATTGGGAAGGTAAGGATATATTGTTCACTTTTTATAAATGTTTACACAATGAAAGCGTTTTCCTATTTATTTGTTTACCTTGGAAAAATTGCAAACTTTAGCTCCACTGGCGGATAATGAGCTTAAAACAAAATAGATACATACATACATACAGTATTGGCCAATACAATAGCACCCCCATTCCAAAGTGATATTGTTTGCTAGCCGAAGTTGTTGCGGGTTTCCTCCATATAAAAATAAATTATGTTTATTCGTTATATGGGAGTGAATGCGACAAAAAAAAAGAAGAATTGTGAAAAATCCATTAATTTTTTAATGCATTAATTGTACTTAACCAACTAATGTTAATGTAAAAAATTAATGCATTCATTTTTGAAAATTAATGCAAATAAAAATTTTAATGCATTAATGCTGAAAAATATAATGCCAATGAAAATTATTTTCATTAAATTATCCAATCTAATGCTATTGAAAAAATTTTAATGCATAATGATTTTGTTCGTTTGCATTACTAAAACCATTCAATTTACTTTCTAGTGAAATATGAATAACCTCTTTTGGAAGGACTTCGTTACTAATAGTTTTTTCAGCTTCATTCTATTATGTTTATTTGAAGAAAAAGTCTTGTAAACATTTTTAGATGTTTTATGAAAACAAAAGCCATGTGCGTGTGCTTTTGTAGATTTTTATGTTGATTTATGGTTACGGTGACCATCCGTCCTGTATTATACGGGACAGTCCTCTTTTTTCATCAATTGTCCTGGTAATTTATTTATTTCATACGGGACGCAAAAAGTTCTGTATTTCTTTTAATGTCCCGTATTTGTCCCGTATTCGGTATTTTGGCGCCCTAGCAGCTCATAAAAATGACATGCCTATGAACTAGTAGTTTTTATTTTTAAATCTGGACGTTTGTGGTTCGAATCGAGGAGCACATATGTAGATGGTTTCTGAAGTTATAATTTTTCGTATAAAATTTGTAATTGGATATGGATCAAATTAAACGTTAATGATTATTGTTCAAGTTTCTAAAAGAAATTGCCCTTGTATTAGCTTTTCAAAGGTTTTTTCAACGCATTTCACGTTGAATATTCTGTATGGAACAAAGCATATTGAACAGGTAGCAGAAGTAGAACAGCTGATCTTACTTTTGTCGAGAATCTCGGCTTTAAATTGTCATTTTTCTTTACGTTTTACTCTAAAATTGGCGAAATCCGAGTCGTGCTTCTAAAGTAATCGCATATTTTCACTATGTTTCCCTGTCTGGGAATGTTTGTAACAGATTTTGATATGGAAAATATTCTACAAATGTGTGATGCTAGAACTGAATATTTATGTGCTGCTTTCATAAAATATTGAAAAATATATGCAAAATAATGATACGGTTTCAGGGCTAATAAATCTAGGATCATTGAAAAAGGGATTAGAATCCTCCAGCTTTTATGGAAAAATTGGCAAATTAATTTTTTGTCCCGTATTCGGCTGCCCTAAATATGGTCACCGTATTTATGGTGCATACCGATTATATTATGAACCAGAAACGGACAGATAGCCAATTTAGCAGCCATGTCCAGGACTGGAGACCTATTCTAATCTAAATCATTCAATAAACCGTTTTAGTTCCATTCGAAAATGTGTTACCTATTTGACTACAAATGCGATTGAATTTAACATAGTGAAAACCAACCTTAACTTCTTTTTTGACCTCAAAATTCTACCCTCTACGTCAACAAAGAATTTTATTTCAAAATAAAATTAGTTATTGGGTTTTTAATGCTTGTTATACTTTTAATGCAATAAATTATTGCAATAGCATTCATTTAAAAAATTTTAATGTCAATGCAAAAAAAAATCATTACCATTATTTCTTAGGGATTAATGCATTTAAATTTTCAATTACATTAAATTTCAAAAATTAATGCATTAATTTTTTACATTAACATTAAAATGCTATGCATTAAATAATTAATGCATTTTTCACAACTCTGATTTTTAGCCACTTGAAACTTGCACATGTTTAGACTGAAGTGTAATGGGCTATAAAACTGTGTACTCAAAAAAAATTCCAGCAATTCTGAGAAAAAGTTTGAAATTTAGGTGAACATTTTTTGAATTTTTTCGTAGAATTTTAAAAAGTTTCAAACTTGAGTTTGTATGAATTTTGTTAGAAAATGAACTGTGTTTTAATTGAAAATTCCTAATAATAAAAAAATTAACAAGAGTGGCAAACAATATCACTTTGAAATGCTGAAACAATACCAAGTAGAAAAAATTTCAACAATTAGCTGCAAAATTACCTGCTTACATATAAAAAAAACTGCATGATGCTTAGTAATCTTTAAAGTTTATGATAAAAAATATAGAACACTTTAACAGCTCTAAAAATCGAAAATATTTATGAAAATGTCACTTTATAGAGCTCTTTAAATCTATTTTTTTTTTTTTTTTTTTTTGAATGAGGCCATATGCCAGTAATTTTCCAAACGATATGCGTGTGTATGGTTAATTGGCTAAAATCGGCTTTTAATGAAATTCTCACAAATATGTATAGCTTGCATTAAATAAGTGTTGTGAATATATATGCATTAGTATATACATACATGCATACTTAGATATGCATACCGGTTGTGAAGTTTCAATCAATCAGTTCGCATATTTACCTATAAATATTTATACATACGTATAGATTTAGTACATACATACATACATACATGTATGTATATGCTTGGACCTTTGGCGTATAAATTAAGTATTTGAAAAAATCTCAATCGCGCTCCTAATAAAAAGCAGCTGGTTAATTCCTTTATATAGAATCGTTTAGGTTGCACGAGTTGCTTGCAGTTTGATTTGGTATAAAGTAGAAAAAAATTTAAAATGTATTAATTAAAAATATTACCACATGTCGTCGTTTAAAGTACAAAACCGCGTATCAACAAAACGCAAAAGCGCGTATAAAGATAATGCAAAACCGCGTATGTGAGGTTGCTTAAATTATTATCTAGAGAGTAAAAGCACTCATTTTTCAAAATGGTTCTCTTTTTTATAAAGCAATCGCATTTTTTGGCTAGTATATTTCAGGACGAATGGATAAAGCTGGAGCCAAGAGCTTGTGTGAGCAAATCTAACTTTTGGCGAAAAATGTCAGTTACGCAGTTTTGCAGAACGACGATACGCGGTTTTGTACTTTAAACGACGATATGTATGTATGTATGTATGTAAATTCAACAAACTTTAACAATTATTTCCAAAAAAGTTAAACTTTTTATTTACATTTTTTTTTTTTTAATTTTGGGCATGCAGTTTTATAGCCCACTAAATTTTAGTATAATAAAGTGCTAAGCACTTTCTTTCATATAAAAGAAATTGTCGAGCATTTTATATGGAAGAAAATACTCAACACCGTCAGCCAACAAAATATTAGAAATCAACGAGATTTTGTGGCGACTTGAAACTTGCGCTTTATCTTACTAAAATTTGATGGGCTATACAACTGCATACCTAAAATTTTTCTAACAATTTTGAACAAAAAGTTTAAAGTTTTTGGGTGTCATTGTTAGAGTTTGTTGAGTTTTTATAATTTTTATACGAAGTTTGACATGTGTATTTATGTGATACCAGAACTGGTCAAAATTTCACTTCACTTAATCAGCTGACTACAACTGTATGTATATGTAGTATGTATAGCACGTATAATATATGTGTATGTCCGTTATAATTGTGGAAAATCATATCAAAACCTATATGAAGTTGGCAGGACTACTTTTTCCCAAAGTAAAAATTCATATCGGATAATTTGCCGTTAATTATCCGTGAAAAGAACTGAACAACTTCTGAAAACCAATTAAGGAAACCAGTTAAACCCAAACTATCTGATAATTTGCCGTAAATTACCCGTTCTTTATCCGTGGGACTAAAAATTGTGTCGAAAACCAGCTGAACCCAAACATGAAAAGAATAATTTTGCCGCAGACATATTTTAAAAAATATCGAGTGCTCTGCTTACTTCTGTGGAAGTGCAGGCGATATTTTTTTTTTAAATATGTCAGCGGCAAAATTATTCTTTTCCACGGAAGTTAGCAGAGCACGCGATATTTGTTAAAATATGTCCGCGGCAAAATTATTCTTTTCACGGATAATTAACGCAAAATATCAGGAATGTTCCTCTTTTCCTGAACACTCAGGTGCTACTGTCTGAATGCTCAAGTTTGTAGCCCCCTTTAACTGTTTTTACTTATTTCCTTTTAACAAAAGATAGTAAAAATTGAGCGAAAAAAGCAACAACAAAAACAAAAATAAACAAAAATTAAAAATTTGCAATGAATACGGTTTGAAAATAAACCATTCATGCACCTATTAGTGCACTAATATATTATATATGCATGCATATATATATACATACATATGTACGATCCACGAAAACAGCGTTGCGAGAATATTTAATACTTTTCAATAGAAAAGAATGCGCTCAAACGTAAGGCAGCACACGTAAGCGTGCAGGTCGGTTACAGTCAGTCGGTCAGATAGCCATTCAACCAGTTAGCCAGTCAAGTGAGCAGTTAAAGGTAGAGCACATATCCAATGCTGCTGCTGCAACAAACCATCGGCGACATGAAATGCAGCCGTACAGAGCACAAACCAAGCAAGGGAGGTGTGTCCAACCACAGCCACAGCGACAATGAATGTATAAAATGTGGTTGCCAGCGCCAATGTGGCGGCAGCGGTTAGGCTTGGAAAAAAAGTAAATAAATTTCTATAAATTGCAAGCTGTAATGCATTTTTACATATATGTATGAATGTTTATACATATGCATGTATATATGTATGTATGTACATATGTATGTACTTTTTGAAAAGAGGGTGTGTAATGCCACACAAATTAAAAGTAGTTCACCTGCTTACGAACCGGTCGATCATTGCATGAGCAGATTGGTACTCACAAACAAATTTGCCACGTGACAAAATCGAAAAAGCATACATCTCACCACACTTACAAACAAATATATATCTGT